TCTGACCTGTCTTTCTTTATGTGCCATATTCCAAGTTCTTTTCTAAGACTAGAAGCGCTTTAAGGAAGATTGAAACCCATATTGTGGTATTGAAAAATGGTCAGTTCAGTTTGGTTTAGTCATCTTCAATTCAATTCCTTGTGGGAACATTTCTTGAGCATGTGTTCAGTGTATATAGAAATAAATAAGGCTCAGACCCTATCCTCAAGGAGCTCAAAATACATATTTTGTCATGATATTCAGGGATGAATAGACTTAACCAAAATGAAGACGACTTTTTGAACTGGCTCTTAAATACAACACAGGCTTTTATGATGCAAGCAAAGAATACACTCTACATGAGAACATTATTCAGAAACTCAGACGTAAATACAAAACAACTGCTAGAGACTCAAGTGGAAATGGCTTTCATTTTTTAGGCAGTATGCATGTGTTACTTTGAGGAAAATAAAATTAACTTTTAGAAAGTTCTTTCACTCACACACACACACACGCACGAAAAGAGTGCAGCAATTTCTAGCATTGGTACACTGATCAAGATGGGCCATTCCGAGGAAGAGTAAGCTAAGGGGAGAGACTCAGGTGTAAATGGGCCACCTTAGCAACTTGTTTTACATAAATTATACATATGCACATTAAAAAAAATAGACTCTAAGTTACTCCACATAGGAGGCAGCAGGAACAAAGGCAAAGAGTTTGAAAGCTCATGGGACAGAGGGCGAATACCAGGCTGACTGAGTCCGACTTGGGTTTCAAGTGGTCTCAGCCATTGACTATATCACTTCTAGAAAGACAGTTTACTGTAATGGAGAATGATTCAGAGACTGGGTAGACAGGAGAGAAACCTGTTGTCAAGCTATAGGACACGTTTTAGTGAGAATTGCCAAAACAAGGCCAATGACAATGGGATTAACCACAGACCGCATTAGATTTGCTATGAAGGTGAGACTAGAAAATGAAAAGACCATTACAGCTTTCCAACACAATTAGCATTTGACTTGTTGGCTCTTGCTTAAGTCAACTATTAGTAAATTATGGCCCAACGGCCAAATTCGGCTTACCACCTGTTTGTGTACAGTCCTTGAGCTGAGAATGACTTTTATACTTTTAAATGGTTGAAAACAAATCAAAAGAAGAAAAATATTTCATGGCAAGCAAAACATTTATGAAATTCAAATTTCAGTGTACAGAAATAAAGTTTTATTGGAATGCAGACATGCTCATTTGTTGATGTATACTGTTTGTGACTGCTTCTGTGCTAAAAAGGCAGAGTTGAGTAGCTGCAACAGGGATTGTGTGGCCCAGAAAGCCCTAGTTACTAGTTGGACCTTCACAGAAAGGTTTGCTGACCTCTGGGTTAAGTGGTTGATAATAATGCTTTGGCATCACCAGCTTTATAGATATTGTGTCCATGCTCATTCAAAACAGCTCAGCTGGACTGACCTGGTGAAACATGCAAACTAAGAACATCAGTGCTGCTTACCATTGTAGAGAATGAGCAAAGAGTTCAAGATCCCCTTTCAATCCATCCACGGTAGTGGTGTTGTATAGGGGATTTTCTGAACTTTACTTTGAAGCACAGTGAGTCCTGACTTCTCATTCCCCAGAGCTTGCCATGAAGTTTATTTGTGGTAGCGCCCCCCCCCCCCTTGTTTTGCTTTTTTTTTTTAGTACTCTTCTAAAAATGACACATTAAAATGACAATGATGATGCAACTCTGGACGTATTACTTGTCTTTTGGCAATTTGGGGCTTTTAAAAAATACCCATATTTTGACTGCTTCACTCACCTGCTATATTCACTGTCTAATCAGACATGTCCCCAAATGGAAAAGAAAAATAATAGAAAGAAAGAAATTTGATATCACTGAAGCTATTAGAATTCAACCAGTCTGTCTGAGGGGAATTTTATGAGAAGAGGTCCAGATTAGTTTCAACATGTCGCAATAATGACTGGACAAGGGTTTATGTGCATGAAGGGGTTAATTACATGTTTCTGCTGATATATAACATGGTTTTATTCCTCCATTTTAATGTGTGTTTTTTTTAGCACACTTCCGCCACATCTAATTTGAAGTAATTCAGTATTAATCACTTGCTGAGAGAACAACAAAGAAAGCAATTAAGAAACAGAGTGAATCAGTTGGAAAAGCAATGCCATACAGACTGGGAAAGAAAGAAATAATGTTTTAAATGACAAACATCTCAGTAATGTGGTCATTACCATTATTATTAATAATTAAAATGATGATGATAATAATAAGAGTTCTTGCTACTTGTATAATAATTTTCTACTTGGGAGCTCAAAGTAATAAAATATTTTATCACTTTTTATCTCCACATAGCTCATCAGGTTAGGAGAGGTCTGTGATTATTATCCAATAGAGAATTTAATCTGCTGATACAATAAATAAGTTGGTGGTACAACTCAGCAACATACTTTCTTCATTATTTATTCAAAGTGATTTTGATGGCTTCTCTTTTCTCTTTGTCCCATGCTCTCTTTCTTATCTCATTCTAAGCCACCAAAGACAATCACTGAAATAGCTGTAATAGGTGGGGTCAGAAAAGGAGGACATTCTGATAATTTTAGGCACAATAGTGACAGATATTCCATGAAAAGGCATGTAATGGTCCTCGTTATCTTTTTGTCTTTTGAAATTCAGCCTCTTTCTCTCTCTTTTGTTTAATTCAAAAGCTACACTATTTCTCTTAATTCTGTTATTCTACCTACTGTTCATAGTTTTGTGTCCCCATGTATTTTGCTATGCACACACATATATAGTTTTAATAACAGAAACTAGACACAGAATGCATCTTATTCTGCAACTTTTTAATTAAAATATATCATTCAGCTTTTGCATGTTAATTCATGTAGCTCTACCCCTTCGATTTAATGACTGCATTATTTTACTTTTCCATCTTGATTAAAAGTTATCATAGAATAGAACTTGTCATATTTCACAATTCTACACAGTGATCATATACTTTTGATAATTATATCATGTTTCCTACTATTATAAATTCATATTCTTTATCTGGCATGATCTGATATTAGTTGAGAAGCCCTTCCCTCCCCATGCACCCTCCCTCCCCAACCCCCCAGGTTTTGCTTACGTCTGCTAACAGCATCTCCTTTCTTTTGCAACAGGTGAATAGCAAGCATTCACAGATGAAAGAATGATAGTCAGTTTTAGGCTTCTTAGGCACATTTGCACATAAAAAATAACCTCCTATGGAGAAGTCTTTTTATATTGCAGTAATTGCCATTCTAGGAACAGGTGTTTGGAATCCCACTCAAGGGAGAACTAGAGATGGAAGAAATTGGGGGGAGGAAGATGAAGTTTCCTTGACTACAGCCTCATGGGAAAGTCACAAAAACAAAAGAGACCGAGTAGAGTCCCGGGAGCCTTCCACCATATCCCATTGCCTTCAGCAGAGGCAGAGTCATGTAGCAATGATGACATTATTAACTTCTGCAACAGCATTCACACAGAACAAACACGGAGGCAGAGACAGGATGTGATGATGGTGTGGCACAGATCAAAATGATAATATCACTTCTTGGTCACTAGGAAACAGAGTCCCTTTGATTTCTGCAAGCAAAAACACCTTTATTGCAAAATGCTTTGCAGTTCGCAAGAACTTTTCACATTCATGATTTCATTCTGGGTCCCCCAGTCACCCATGTGCTTTAGAAAGAATGGGTCTTCTGTCCTTTATTGACAGATAAAGAAACTAAGCTCAGAGTCTACTTAATTTTTCTAAACTACTATGGAAAGAGCTGGACTTGAAATTTTCTTTATTCTAATTTACCCCCTGGTGCTCTTCCAAAATAACACCACACTCATTCACCCCTAGTCCTCATGTACCAGACAGTGCTCTGGAGGTATGAATACATGCCACCGATTCTACCAGCATGATAAATACCTCAGAAGTTTAAAATAACATCATATTCAAACTCTTTAGCAAACTGACTTATTGTTTCATTTTCTCTAGTTGCTAATAGCTTAGCAACTATTATAATCAAGAAAACAGTAACTTTACTAATCAAACACAAAGCCGGTTGACAAACATTTTTCAGTAACGTGTTTTTGATGGCAGAACAAATAAGAGAGTTGAGGGAGTTTCATGAAGAAGAGATTTTCTGCATCATCAATGAAGTTTAGAGATACAAATTAGCTCACACATTCAGCTTTTTAAAGAATAGACCCCTGGTTATCTCTTATGTGTATCCTCAAAACTTGTTTAGAATAAATCAGAAAACTAAAAAGAGATTGAATTAGAAACTCTACCTGGAACTTGGTATGGTTCAAGCTGTAACACATTTAAGATGCTAGAGTGGCCTGGCCAGTATGGCTCAGTGGTTGAGCATTGACCCATGCACCAAGAGGTCACCGGTTCAATTCCTGATCAGGGCACATGACCAGTTTGGAGGCTAAATCCCCAGTGGAGGGCCTGCAGGAGGCAGCCAATCGATGTTCTCTCTCATCGATGTTTCTATCTCTCTCTCTCCCTCTAACGTCCTCTCTCTCTCTAAAATCCATACAGAAAAACAAGTTTTAAGATGCTAGAGTGGTAGAAACAGGTTTTAAACATTTCCATAGCTCCTACAGCACCCAACTCAGTGTCTTGCACATGGCTCAGTAAATCATGGCTAACATTTACATGGCATTTTCTACATGCTAGGCACTGTTGGCGGCACTTTATATACAGTTATTCATTTAATCTTTACAACAATTCTGTGAGATAGGTACTATCATTATCATCTTCATTTTATGGACAAGAAAGCTGAGGCACAGAGAAATCAAATTACTTGACAAGAGTCAGGCAACCAGAGCCAGATTAGCTTCAGCAGCCTGGGACCACGGTGTGTTCTAAACAGAAGAGCACTCTACCATATAATTGAGTGTCCTGAATTCCCCAGAAATATCTGTTTTATCTAGGGAGCAGACATGGTGTGCACTCTGATATAATTCACCTATTTGCTTTCTTTCTCAGGTCCTCTGTGGTGATGGCCACGAAGAGAGCTTGTATGAAGCCATGGGTCACTGGCCTCATCACCTTCATATCCCTGATTGTTCTGGCAGTGTGCACTGGACTCATTGTTCATTATGTGAGATATAGTAAGTATGGGCTACCCTGGCATTGTGTGATTTACCCCAGGTATTTCCTCCTGTGCATTTCTGTTTTGGTTAGCCTCAGGCTTATTTGTTCATCACAATAATTCATTTGCTTTGCTGGTACAAAAAACTCTTTACCTGCCTTGTTTCACATTTAATCCTCACAGGCCAAGGAGATTCTTTCTTCTATCTTTGATGAGACAATGCTTCCTGCTGAGAATAGCATACTAGTGTTTATATTCATTAATGAGCAATAATCAAATCTTAATTAGGGGAAGACCATAGGAGAGCTAGAGTCCAGTGTCTTGAGTTGTTTGAAGTCATAAGGCAATAACCTTGATTTAAAATAATTCTAATGCGTTGAAATCCTGACAGCCCAAAGAGTTAATTACATAATCAGAGGTTATAGGGAATAAGTAGGCTCTGTTCTGTGCTGGTATGTTGGAAAAATGTTCATAGTGATATATTATTGAATAGATGCCTATTTGTGTTATTTAAAATCTCATCTTGGGATATATTACAAGTGATTACAGAGGATAGGATATGCTGAGAAGGTTCATTGTAAAAAGGTTCACTTCATGGTAATTGGGTATCTCACTGCTAGATGAAACATGAACACTGCTGTGTTATTAGAAAGGTCCCCAGGGTACTTCAGAACTGTTCTCTGAGGGTATGACAACCAGCCCTTCTGAAGTGTACTTCTGCGCTGCCTCAGCTTTTAATTAGTTGACTCCACTATGACCTATTGGTTTAATATCTCCCTTACTGACTAGATAATGCTTTGATGTTCAAGACCCTGTAACTAAAGAGGCCAATCACTTATTCTAATTTAATTAGGAATTTGTAGAAGTAGCTTTCTTGTAAAGAGAAATGGTGATCTGTAAATTGATGATCTTTTGTTAGTAGATACAGTCCAGTCTTAATTTTCTAAGCAAGGTAAATTATTTCTGAACACTTTAAAGAAAAAAAAAATTAATGTAAAGATTATTTTTGGTAGAATTTACCCACATCCAGGTCTTTGAATTTGGGGTATCTGCATTTTTCTGGAGCATGTTTCTAACAAGAAAAAAAAATAGCTAAAGTAACTACAATTCTATAATCCTATTATAAATATATTGAGTCCCACGATGTTGTAAGTATCATTACTCTTCTCCATGGATGCCTAAGACTATGTTTTAGTTACTTTTGTATTTCCAGAACTTAAGAGGATTGTGGCACATATTAGAAACTTATTTAATGTCTATTAAATACTGAATGATAAACAAGTGAGTCATACCTATGATATTTTCTAGGGGCATACTGCGGCTTGTCTAACTTCATAAGGAATTCCTGGTAATGCTAGGAGTGTCAATATCTGAGTGAGAGAAAATGTTTACTTCTCCTTTGCCTCTTCCCAAGCCAAGTGTTTATAAGGCTGAAGCTCTTATTCATATGCATACAATGAAAACTTGGCAAGATTTTTTCAGTAACCTGTTCCTGGATCCTATTGTTTGGATGATGAGCTGAGTAATATGGAGCACAGTTTCTGCTGCCCACACAGCACACCTGAATAAACGATTGTTGTGATATGTGTAACTGTCATAATTGAGACCTGCCCTCTGTTTGGGAATGTAAACTGAAAACAAAGTGGATATAGCACGCGCGTGTTTAGGAGATGGTACACCTAGATAACCGAACTAAACCAAACAAATATATTACAGAAACAGATAGAGATGGAAGTAATCAGACTTGAAGAAACATTGTTTTGGCATAAAGCCCAGGACAGCATAGAACTGTGTGTGTGGTCTGTGTCAAGGGGCTTTTGAGCCTGCATCCCCGTCCTCTCTGTGATTCGAATGATAGAAGTAGAATCTATTATGAGTAACATCATTGTAGATTATAGAATCACAAACCTGTTATAAAACTTATATTCATCCTTATTTTTCTTACTTTTCTGTTTACATTCCAAATGATATTCTTCAACAAATACACATGCCATATAATTTTGACAACTGGCACTGTTTTGACACTTAGTGATCTGTTTGAGTATTTGAGGAAAGTAAAATATTGACTATAGATAAGTTGTTCATTTGGTTGAGTTATATGAAATTGCTGATATTTGACCATTTTTGACCTATATAAATGGCAGTTTCAAATGATTTAATCTAACAATTAAAAAACAACAACACCCAAACAGATCTAAGGATATAGAAGAATCCGTTCTCTTGCTCTTTAGAACCTTACTATTTGGCATGATGTTGATGTTAGGTACCAGCAACATCAGCCTGGTGCTAGGCGGACGAGCTTGTTAGAAATGCAGAGTCTTGGGCCCAACTTAAGACTTAATATAAACTATTGGTCAATATTTCAATAAATTAAACACCTTACTTAAAAGTGTGTATATTGCCAGGGACCTGCCTGCATTTCAACTTACAGTGGCCATCCAGGGAAGAGAGGTGAGGAAGGAGGGAGGAAGGTAAAACCTCCCCAGTACCTCACTTAGGTGGCTAAAGCTCAGTAGACGCTGACCTGTCAGTGTCTCCAGCCTGCCATCCATATCCTTTATGTATCCCTCCTGATTTTGTCAGTCTGACTGGTGGCTTCCCTCTTCAGATTGCCAGGATGATCTTTTGAAATTTACCAGCAGTTTCTTTTGTTGTTTTCGTTTCGCATAACTTGTATATAATGAGAGATTTTTCTTACAGCTTCAATGAGTGGGTTTTTTCCCCACCCCAAGAAGCACTATGTAAAGAAAATTTGTGCTTTGAGAATTAGATCTTGGGTTGAAGTCCAGTCCTGTCTTTTCTGGCTATGTCATGTTGGGGTTAGGCAATTCATTTCCATTTCTGAGACTGTATCCCTTATCTGATAAATGTGGATAATATTGCCTTCACATGAGGGCTATTACAAATTAAATGAGATATGTGAGTATGTCTGGGACACAGGTGTCCGATATTAGTATTCTTTTCCTCTGAGGTTTAATTGAAAAGGGAACAAATAAGAAGCAGCAAAGAAGAAGAGAGAGACTGAGACTGGGTGAGGCATTCTCTATTTCCTGTAATAAGCATACACAATAGTCTTAATCCTCATTGTATTTCTAATGCGCAGCACAGAGTCTCTTATAGAAAAATGTAGTGAGAATACTTGTTTAATGACTCTTCTGAAGGCTTCATGCTTGCTTCATGTATATAGGAGGGTAGATGACCTGCTTTGCTGCATTAATTCTTCAGTATGCCCAAAACATGGGCTGCTTAAACTAGATGCAGAAAGTAGAGGCAATAGCTAAAGAATCAGACAAGCCAATCCCTGTAGCTGCCAGGAGAAAATATAGTGATAAGAAAGTCAGGTGAAACAAGGTAGTGTCCCTGGAAAGTCATGCCAGGTGTCAGCTCTAGCTCCTTCAATTTCTACATACTGAACTTTTAGCATTTTAAGTCCTAGCCTCATCTTATTCTTTAGTCAAAATAAGTATTCTTACACTAGAGTCCTTGTGCCCAGAATTGATGTGTAGTTTACTGATTGGAAGAAGCCTACTTTGGAATGTAAAAACGCGTTTACTCCTGGGAAGCTTCTGAATCCATCCCTGTGTGTTTGCTCAGATGTCGTGACTTGCTGCCTCTTGTGGTTTATTCAGGAATGGATAACACATGACTAATTAGCCCATAGGAACACCAAATATTTCTTATGACTTTTGCACATTCTAAATCTCATGATGACGAATGTTGTTGTCTTTTCTTCTGAGTTAATCATGAAGCTCAGGGCAGGATGACGGAGATGATGGCCTGCGTAGAGACATTCTTTGGCCTCAGTCTTTCCAACAACCACCAGATGGGAAAATGATGATGCTTTACACACATCTGATAAAAAGTATGATGGGTTTTTATCTCTTTCCTTGTAGATCAAAGGAAGGCCTACAATTACTATAGTACATTGTCATTTACAAGTGACAAACTATATGATGATTTTGAAAGAGAGGCTTCTAAAAATTTCACAGAAATGAGCCAGAGAATTGAATCAATGGTAAGCACTTTTTCCCCCCCATTTCTAGGGCCATTACTTTTTACCATAATTTTTAGCACCCTAGCCTCTAAAACATTTACACAACCGATCTTGAATGTCTTTTTAAAATGAGAAGAAGGCCCTACCTAAGAGATATAAAATAAAAATAACAATACATGACTTTAGAGAGTATGATGAACCAAGTCATCATGGTCATTTCTTTATGTTTCTCCTACTCACCCTTCTTTAGCTAGGGCTACACTTTTAATAATCAGCATCCAGAAATTCTGGGAATGTGAGGGTTGGTGTATTCTAGAATTCTTAAAGAAGAGACCTTGAGCAAAAGATCACAAGATTAAAACTATTCAGATGCACACTTGAATAGTGTTTTAGTATTTAAAGATCTCTAACGTTGGACCAGTTTTTGGTACATAAGTGTATAGGAAATTCAAGGATACTCATTCTGTCATTAAGGCATCAACATTATCCTGAGGGATGAATTAACTATTTTAAAAAGTAGAAAAGTCAGCAGTATTGGCCAAAAGAGCAAGGGTTTGGGTGATGACTTCTGATTGTCAGATTACTTAGAGAATAATTTAGACTTTTCCTGGTATTTTATGAGGTAATTAGTGGTATGATGTGGTGAAAAGCACCCTAAACTAGGAGTTGGGACATCTATTTTTAGTACCATGTACTAGATAGTGATGTGTCATTTGGTGTACCACTTATCATTATGAACAAATTTCTTTATGTGAATATTAGAACATTAAGACTAGATAATTTCCAAATTGTCTTCTAGTTCCAACATCCCGAATAAAAACAAAAAGGCAATGACCCACCTGGAAACTGTTTGATAGACTAGAAACCTGAGGATTTGGACACCTTGCTTGGGAGAAGGATAAATATTGGCTGTATTTGTAGACACAAAATCAGGGAAATATCTGAATAAGCATATATATATATATATATATATACACACACACATATATATATATATATATATATATATATATATATATATATATATATAACTTTTTCACCCGGTTTGGAAGCCATGTGACACTCATGCACTCATTTCTATAACCCAACTACTACTTGGCAGAATTAATTCATTTTCCTTGTCTATATTTGTCTATATCTCAGAATGTGAACATTTACTGCTACTTTTCAAAAAAACAGTCTTTTATTTTCTTTTATCTCCATGTGAGCACAGCTGATACAACTCCAGGCCCCCCTACTATGGTTTCTATAATTCCCAAAGCAGAGTTTAGTGGAAATTACTGAGTAGAATACTAAAAAAGAGTCCTCAAGTATAGCACCTGGTGAAATGTTGGTCAATGTGTTTTGTTTTTAATTTTAAAAAAATATTTAAGCTTCAAATTTGCTTGCTGAATTTCTGAAAATTGTTCTTGCTGACATAATTTGAATATTTTTGAAACAGGTGAAAAATGTATTTCATAAATCTTCATTGAGGGAAGAATTTGTCACGTCTCACATTATCAGATTTAGGTATGTAGATTTAAAATTATTATTTCTGAATACAATTTAAAGCTAAAACTGTTAATATAATCAGTTATAAATACTGTTCAAAGTGTTGCAATATGATGTAATTCAATTTAACAAATATTCATTTTGCACCTGTTCTGTGTAAGTCATAGGTTAAATGTGCCTTGCTGATTTGCTAAATGCAAAAGAAAACATTGCAAGATGATTGCAAGAGACAGAGGATTTATTGGTGGCTATATTACAGAACTGTTACTTTTTTTGAAACTCTAGTACAAATACGGAAATATGCCACATCCTTTGGTTTAATAGTAAACAGTGTAGTAGATGAGGTTTGTCTTCACCCCTTGGTTCTCCTTATCAATTTTCATTTCACTCTTTCTGCTTCTACTATTTTAGATCTTAGATCTGATCATCAACCATGAATAAATAGAAGTTCAGAGCATAACATTTTATGTAAAGCACTATATGAAGATCTTAATATATTGTCTTAATGAAAATTATTTGTATTTTTCAAAAAAGGGATAAGAACTATTTCCAATATTATTTCAATGACAAAAACTCCAAGAGTTACTTCTTAGTCTATTACTTTTCTGACATCTTTGAGGTATTACCTTGACCACTTTCTCCTGAAAACTCCATACTCTCTAGTATTTGAAATATTATTCTTTCTTGGATCTCCAATCCTTAAATATTTACTCTCTGAAGGGAATTTTATTCACTCATGTGGCTTCATATGCTATTGAAATCCAAGTTTATATTTCTAATCCAAACTCTTTTCCTGACTTCTAGAACTGTATGCTTGCCCATGTACTTCTCCACATGAGAGTTCCACAGAAATATCTTGAGCTCAAGGAAAACCCATTCATTCTAGTGAGAAACCTGGAAGTCAATATGCTCCTTCCTTTCCTGGGCCCTTTGCATGTTATGAATAACTAAAACCACTTTCCAAGTTATTTCTTCATTCTACAAATCTCGCTGCTCATTATTTTTTCTTCTGTCACTGCAGTAGGAAGAAGTAAATTGTGTTGGAAAGATGAAGTTAGTCCTAGAGTGTTGAATTGAAATGCTAAAGGGCCATGTGAGCCTGAAATATGAGTACCACTTGTGGGAGGAAAAGGGAACCGGGGAGAAGATATACATTTGCTCATCATCAACTCAAAATACCAGAAAGTGTGGGTATAAATGAAATTTCTCAGAAAAAGAATAATGAAAGACAAAAAAAAGTTTGATGAAAAAAACTTGAAGAACAATAATATTTAAGGAGATGTAAGAAAAATAGGAACCTAGGAAATAGGGGAGAAGCAGAAAAAAAAGTTCATGATAGATGCCCAAAGTTCAAGAAGAGCTTGGAAAGAATTGACTGACTGTATGTGTCAATGAGGAGTCATTTGGTGTAGGAAAGACTCTGTGGACTGGGAGGACAGGAAGCAGAGTGCAAAGAAGTAAATATAAGGCAGAATGTAATTTATCCATTCAAGAAGGTTTATTGTGATAAGAGTGAGAGATAAATTGAATAGCTGGGGTAGAGAGAGGATTTTATTTGTTTTTTGTTTCTATAAGCCAAACAATATAGGAATAGTTTAAGAGAAAGAAGAAAAAAATAATTGATGTACAGGGTTGCTGAAAGGCGATGGGATATACAGCAATAATTTCTTTAAAGCCTTATGTGTTTCTTCAGATTATAAAGCAATACAAAAATATATAAAATTCAATAACGGCATTACAGAAAATAGAAAGTGAAAACTCCCTCTCCAATAATTCCACTCAGAAAAACCTCATCTTAGCAATTTATTTTGCACATCTTTTCAATGACTGAATGTACATTTATTTCATTCTTTAGCTGGCTGTTTAGTATTTCACTACAAGTATGTATTGGAGTTGGCTTAGCCAAGGCCCTTTTGATGAACACTTTGATTATTACATATTTTTCAGATTTAAAAACAAGGTTATGATGAACATATGCATACATACCTCCTTGTATACACAAGAGGGTATTTGAAGATTAAATTTCTAAAAGTAGAAATACTACATCAGAGAGGATGGATAATAACATTTACAATAAAAAAAAAAACAAAAAAACCTGACCTCTAAGAATAAGACTCTCACTTATATTTCTGTTTACAGTTTATGTGAGTAAAAAACAATGCCATGTAGGGGGAGGAGTAAAATTCTGCAGGAACTGATTGTTTGTGAAAAAGAGGGGGTGGAGCAGCTGACTGAATGAGAAAGAATAGTCAAGGCTGAATCCACGGCAGTAACTCATTCTACTAACACTAAGGCTAATTAACACTCTACCTCAAAAATACAATCATGTAAAGCCAACATATTTTGGTCAAGCTTTTTAAGAGTCTTAGGATTTAGGAGTTGTTTGGGAGAGCCTGAAGGCTACTTAGGAAATATTATTGGATTTAAACCACTGGGAATTAAGCCTGAAAGCTAAAGCCAGAGTTGATTTCATATTCAATATACACTGTATATGATAATTTTTAATGGTTGACAAGAGAAGTATTTTTTAAAATATAAATACTATGTACTTAACTGGATCCTTTGGTGGTAACAGGAACCAGGAACATACTAGCTTATTACTATCGGGGAGGCTGAGTTGGGAGCTCTATATGTGATAAACAATAGAAATACAGAAGAAAATAAGTTAGATCTTTTAAAATTACATTTATGGATTTGTTTTTGTATGTGTTACAAATGAATGACAAAGAAAAATATATTGTGAAACTACCATACATTATATTCTAAGCTGTATCTTTTTTTAAAAATAATTTTTATTAATTTATTTTTGTTACAGATGTTTCTCCTTTTCCCCCCCATTGACTCCCTCCTCCCACCTCCACCCCCATCCCCAGCATTGTTGTTTATGTCCATTGGTTATGCATACATGCATATAAATTCTGTGGTTTATCTCTTCCCTCCCTTCCCTCCTCCTCAGTCTGTACCCTACTTCTATGTCTCTGGGTCTATTTTGTTCTTTAGTTTGTTTTGTTCATTATATTCCACAAATAAGTGAGATCATGTGATATTTGTCTTTCTCTGATTGGCTTATTTCACTTAGCATAATACTCTCCAGGTCCCTCCATGTCATCTCAAAGGTAAGAGATCTTTCTTTCTTACAACTGCATAGTATTCCATTGTGTGTATATGTACCACAGTTGTTTTTTTGTATCTACTCATCTACTGATGGACACTTGGGCTGTTTCCATATCTTAGCTATTGTAAATAGTGCTGCTATGAACATCAGGGTACATATTTTCTTTCTGATTGGTGTTTCAGGCTTCTTAGGGTATATTCCTAGAAATGGGATCACTGGGTCAAATGGCAGTTTAATTTTTAACTTTTTGAGGTAAAACATATTTAAACTATATCTTTAAAAAAACCACATTTCCCCCCTTTTTGGTCCACAGTAAAGATGAAAACAGAGTGTCGGCTCACATGCTGCTGATTTTTAGATTTCGCTCTACTGAGGATCCTGAAACCATAAATAAAATTATTCAACGTGTTCTACATGAAAAGCTGCAAGATGCTGTAGGGCCCCCTGAATTAGATCCCGAATCAGTTGAAATAAAAAGTAAGTTTATTTTTCTCATTTAGTTTAATTCTCTTACATAAAATAGCTCCAGGTTAAGTTTAGTCTTGGGTGATGATTTTTAAAAATTATTTTGAATGCCCCTTAATTATGGGTTTTCACCACTAGCAGAATATTTATTTGGTACCAAATTGTTCCTAATAAAGCATTTTAATTTTTAATACTACCCAAAACTTATGGCTTGCATGCAAGCCTGTCATTAAGTCCTGGGTCTGGGTTTTCTTTCTATATTGGGCCTTACATTTTAGTTATAGAACCCAATAATAGGAGGAGAAAGTGGCTCTGCATACTTATTCCTCTTCTTTTTCTCATTACTTATATTTTATATATTTTATGTTCTGAGAGTGTGATGTGTGAAAAGGTTCATGCCATGCACATATTTGCCTTCAAATGTTATTGATATACCTTGTTATAGTTTCTTCCCTTAGAACATTTACCAATGAAACATTTGTAATTTATTTTTATATATTTTTGGTATATATTACACCTAATATAAAAAGTCTGGAGGGCTTTTTGTTTGTTTGTTTATCTGTTTGTTTTTGGAAACAAGCAGTGATAAGTTCTCATTACTAGAAAGTAAGAAACATAAGAGTCTCAGTAGAAATAAAAGTCTGGTTAAGAGCTAAGTCATATTCTAGGAACAATGTTAATCTATAGAAATACTATGCAGGCCAAATGTATGATCTTAAACTTTTAAGTAGCCATTAAAAAAGTAAGATTGTGAAATTCATTTAAATAGTCTGTATAATTAATCCAATATATCCAAAATAGCAGTATTTCAACAAGTAGTCAATACATAAATTATTTATGCACTAATGCATTGAAATCTGGTGTATATTTTATATTTATAGCACATTTCAATTTAGACAAGCCACATTTCAAGAGCTCACTAGGTACATGTGTCTAGTGGGTACAACATAGGAATTGGCAAGTACTAGAAATGAGACCATAGGGGACAAGTAGAAAGAATGAAGACAAAGTGTCTTGCTTATGAAGGGAGGCTACACTAGTCAGGGTTAGTGACATAATTTGTGGGGCCCAGTGGAAAAAAAAAATGTTGGACTCTTTGAAGAGCAATAAAAAGGGCTGGTAAAGGTAATAAATAATAAGACTTTTTTCTTTAATGGTGTCTCTTGATTTGTCATATTTTTAATTGTTAATATCATTCAAAGTGAAAAAATTTAAAGTACTAGCATAAGTTTTACTGTTCACTTTCATAATATGAAATGTCAATTTTAAATGCAAATATAAGAGCATTTAATTTCTATTTGGAATCACAAAAATTATACAACTGTATTTCATAGCTCATACATACATGTATTTCACTTTTTACCAGATCAATGAAAACATTGCACAAGGCTAGCATGACCTTTTTTAAATTTCCCTTGTCGACACATGTACATTTTAAAACTCTCTCTACCTTCATCTTAAGTGAGGATGGACCAAAACGCTCTTCTATGCCATTATTTCCAGCGTAAACTGTTGACTGATTCCAAGAAAAATGAGAGCAAGAAAGAATATGATAGGGTCCCTTGGTTGTTCATGTATATTATAATGACATTACCTTCTTTCTAAATTTTAAGCAACTTCTGTTCCAAACAGAAAACATGGCCTCTTGGGACTATCACTGCCCTCTGCCTGATTGTTGAGACATCAAGCTAAGGAGCCATTGGTTAAAATTAAATGACAATATGAAGGCAAATTGTCTTGCTATAACTTTGGCACAAGGAAGACTTATAAAGAGATAACATTGGTTTAAAATGGGAGTGAGAACTAATTTATGGAATGCCACTTGGATGTTATACAAATGGGAGTATGTTGCCCAGCTGGTGTGACTCAGCGTTGCCCCATGGACTGAGAGGTCCCAGTTCGATTCCCAGTCAGTCAGGGCACATGCCTGGGTTGAGGACTTGATCCCCAGCAGGGAGCATGCAGGAGGCAGTCGATCAATGTTTCTCTCTCATAGATATTTCTATCTCTCTCTCCCTTCCTCTCTCTGTTTAAAAAAATCAATAAAAACATATTAAAAAACACACAAATTGCACTATGCCTATGACTTTAGTAAAATAGTCTGAAATAATAATGGTCAATAAAAATATTATTGCATTGGGCCAATCAATATTATGGCTCTGACCATTATTTCCCTCAAAGAGACTATGGTCCATGTGCATTTTATTTCCTGGTGTAAAATTCATATTCCTGGTCTTCAACACAAAACTACTGAATCAGAATTACTGGGAAGAGAAATAGGAATTTACATTATGAAAGTGCTCCCTTATGTGAATCTTTCTTTTTTTTTAATGAATTTTTATTTATTTTTTTGTTACAGATATTTTACCTTTTTACCCCATTGGCACCCCCCACCCCACCCCACCCCCGCCCTGGCCCAGGCTTAGTTGTCCATGTCCATTGGTCATGCATACATGCATGTAAGTTCTGTGGTTTATCTCTTCCCACCCCCCTACCCCCCCATCCCCTCTTCTGAGGGATGTCAGTCTGTGCCCTACTTCCATGTGTCTGGGTCTACTGTATTCCTCAGACTGTTATGTTCATTATATTCCGTATATAAGTGAGATCATGTGGTATTTGTCTTTTTCTGCTTGGCTTCTTTCACTTAGGATAATACTTTCCAGGTCCCTCCATGTCGTCTCAAAAGATAAGAGATCTTTCTTTCTTACCGCTGCATAGTACTCCATTGTGTATATGTCCCACAGCTTTTTGATCCATTCGTCTACTGGTGGACACTTGGGCTGTTTCCAGATCTTAGCTATTGTAAATAGTGCTGCTATGAACATGGGGGTACATATATTCTTCCTGATTGGTGTTTCAGGCTTCTTAGGGTATATTCCCAGCAATGGGATCACTGGGTCAAATGGAAGTTCAATTTTTAATTTTTTGAGGTAGCACCATATTGTTTTCCATAGTGGCTCACCAGTCTGCGTTCCCACCAGCAGTGTATTAGCGTCCCCTTTTCTCCACAACCTCGCCAACACTTGTTGTTTGATGATTTGTTGATGGCGGCCATTATGACAGGTGTGAGGTGTCCCTCATTGTTGTTTTAATTTGCATCTCTCTGAAGATTAGTGATGTTGAGCATTTCGTCATATGTCTTTTGGCCATTTGTATGTCCTGTTTGGAAAGGTGTCTATTCAGCTCCTCTGCCCATTTTTTAATTGGGTTCTTTGTCTTCCTTTTATGGAGTTGTATGAGCACTCTCTATATATTGGAAATTAAACCCTCATCTGATACATCATTGGCAATGATGTTCTCCCATACAGTGGGTTGCCTTTGCATTTTGATGATTGTTTCTTTTGCTGTGCAGAAGATCTTTAGTTTGATGTAGTCCCATGTGTTCATTTTCTCCTTTATTTCTGTTGCCTTAGGTGATGTATCAGTGAAAATTCTGCTCCGTATGATGTCTGAAATTTTGTTGCCTACATTTTCTTCTAGAATTTTTATGGATTGACGGGTCACATTTAAGTCTTTTATCCATTTCGAGTTTATTTTTGTGTATGGTGTAAGTTGATGGTCTAGTTTCATTTTTTTGCATGTAGCTGTCCAATTTTCCCAACACCATTTATTAAAGTGGCTGTCTTTACTCCACTGTATGCTCTTGCCACCTTTGTCAAATATTAATTGAGCGTATTGCCTTGGGTCCATTTCTGGGTTTTCAGTTCTGTTCCACTGGTCTATAAGCCTGTTCTTGTGCCAGTACCATGCTGTTTTGGTTACAGTCGCTTTGTAGTATAACCTGATATCTGGTATTGTGATCCCACCTACTTTGTTCTTCTTTTTCAAGATTGCTGTGGCTATTCGGGGTCTTTTTTGGTTCCATATGAACTTTTGAAGTATTTGTTCTAGTTCTATGAAATATGTCGTTGGTATTTTGATGGGGATTGCATTGAATCTATAGATTGCTTTGGGTAGTATGGACATTTTAATGATGTTAATTCTTCCAATCCATGAACAGGGTATGTGCTTCCACTTTTTTATATCTTCCTCTATTTCTTTTGTCAATGACCTGTAGTTTTCTGCAAATAGGTCCTTTACTTCTTTGGTTAAGTTTATTCCTAGGTATCGTAATTTTTTTGGTGCGATGGTAAATGGGATTGTTTTTTAGTTTCTCTTTCTGTGAGTTCATCATTGGTGTACAAGAATGCCGTCGATTTCTTGACATTAATTTTGTATCCTGCTACTTTGCCAAATTCATTTATTAAGTCTAATAGATTTTTGATGGAGTCTTTAGGGTTTTCTATGTACAATATCATGTCATCTGCAAATAATGACAATTTCACTTCCTCCTTTCCAATTTGGATCCCTTTTATTTTTTCTTCATGTCTGATTGCTGTGGCTAAGACTTCCAGTACAATGTTAAATAAGAGTGGCGAAAGAGGACATCCCTGTCTTGTTCCTGTTCTTAATGGAAATGTTTTTAGTTTCTGTCCATTGAGTATGATGTTGGCTGTAGGTCTTTCATATATGGCCTTTATTATGTCGAGATATGATCCCTCTATTCCTACATTGCTGAGCGTTTTTATCAGAAATGGATGCTGGATTTTGTCGAATGCTTTTTCAGCATCTATTGATATGATCATGTGGTTTTTATTCTTCATTTTGTTTATGTGGTGTATCACGTTTATTGATTTACGAATGTTGTACCAGCCTTGCATCCCTGGAATGAATCCCACTTGGTCATGTTGAATAATTTTTTTGATGTAATTCTGGATCCGATTTGCTAATATTTTGTTCAGGATTTTGGCATCTATGTTCATCAGGTATATTGGCCTGTAGTTTTCTTTTTTCGTAGTGTCTTTTTCTGGTTTTGGAATTAGAATAATGCTGGCCTCACAGAACGTGTTTGGAAGTCTTCCTTCTTCTTGAATTTTTTGAAATAGTTTGAGGAGAATGGGTGTTAGTTCTTTTTTGAATGTTCGGTAAAACTCCCCCGTGAAGCCATCTGGGCCTGGGCTTTTGTTTGCTGGGAGAGTCTTGATTACCTCTTCAATTTCCTTAGTTGTTATTGGTCTGTTCAAGTTTTCTATCTCTTCCGGGAATAGTTTTGGGAGACTGTGTGTTTCTAGAAATTTGTCCATTTCGCTTAGATTGTCAAATTTGTTGCCATATAGTTGTTCGTAGTAGTTGTTAATGATCTTTTGTATTTCCGTGGTGTTGGTTGTTACTTCTCCTCTTTCATTTCTGATTTTGTGTATTTGGGTTCTCTCTCTTTGTTTCTTGGTGAGTCTAGCTAAGGGTCCATCAATCTTGTTTATCTTTTTGAAAAACCAGCTCTTTGTTTCATTGATCCTTTGAATTGTTTTTTTGGTCTCTATGTCATTTATTTCTGCTCTGATCTTTACTATTTCCTTCCTTCTACTTGCTCTGGGGTTTTCTTTTTGTTTGCTTTCTAATTCTTTAAGTTGTGAGGTTCGACAGTCAATTAGAAATTTTTCTTGTTTTTTGAGGTAGGCTTGTAGTGCTATGAACTTCCCTCTCAGAACTGCTTTCACTGCATCCCATAGATTTTGTGTTGTTGTGTGTTCATTTTCATTGGTTTCCAGGAAGTTTTTAATTTCTTCCTTGATCTCCTCGGTGACCCATTCATTGTTCAATAACATGCTATTTAGCCTTCCATGTGTTGAAATGTCTTTGCATGTTCTTGTTGCAATTGATTTCTAGTTTCATGCCATTGTGATCTGAGAAGATGCTTGATATGATTTTAATCTTCTTGAACTTGTAGAGATTTAGTTTGTGACCTATCATGTGGTCTATCTTTGAGAATGTCCCATGTGCACTTGAGAAGAATGTGTATTCTGTAGCCTTGGGGTGTAATTCTCTGTAGATATCTATTAAATCCATTTGGTCTAGTGCTTCATTTAGAGTCTCTGTTTCCTTGCTAATTTTTTGCCTAGAGGATCTATCCAGTGCTGTCAATGGGGTGTTGAAGTCCCCTGCTATGATTGTATTGTTGTCGATTTCTCCTTGGAAGTCCTCCAGAAGATTTTTAATATATTTTGGTGCTCCTATATTGGGTGCATATATGTTTATCAAGGTTATATCTTCCTGTTGGATAGATCCTTTCAATATTATGTAGTGGCCGTCTTTGTCTCTAGTTATGGTCTTCATTTTGAAATCTGTTTTATCAGATATGAGAATTGCTACCCCAGCTTTTTTTTGCTTTCCATTTGCTTGGAAAATTTTTTTTCCATCCCTTCACTTTCAACCTATGTGAGTCTTTTGTTGAGAGGTGGGTCTCTTGTAATCAACATATAGATGAGTCTTGCTTTCTTATCCAATCAGCTACTCTGTGTCTTTTTATGGGAGCATTCAATCCATTTATGTTTAAGGTGATTATTGATATGTACTTATTTATTGCCATTTTTGTTTAGTGTGGTTCTATTTTTCTTCCCATTTCTACTGCTAATTACAGCAGTCCTTTTAACATTTCTTGCAGTGCTGGTTTGGTGCTAATGTATTCCCTTAGCCTTTTTTTGTCTGGGAAGCTCTTTATTTGATCTTCTATTTTGAATGATAGCCTTGCTGGGTAGAGTAGTCTTGGATTCAGATTCTTGTTTTTCATGACTTTGATTACTTCATGCCATTCTCTTCTGGCCTGTAGTGTTTCTTGTGAGAAGTCAGCTGAGAGCCTTATGGGTTTCCCTTTGTAGGTAACCTGTTGCTTCTCTCTTGCTGCTTTTAGGATTCTCTCTTTGTCTTTAATTTGTGGCATTTTAATTACTATGTGTCTTGGTGTGGGCCTGTTTGGGTACTTCTTACTTGGGACTCTCTGTGTTTCTGGAACTTGAATGCCTTCTTCTTTCACCAAATTAGGGAAGTTTTCTCTCACTATTTTTTTGAATATATTCTCTATCCCTTGCTCCTTTTCTTCTTCTTCGGGGACTCCTATGATGCGAATATTATTACGTTTCCAGTTGTCCCATAATTCTCTTAAGCTGTCTTCCTGTTTTTTAATAGTTTTTTTCCTTTTGTTTTTCTGATTGGTTGATTTTTTCTACCCTGTCTTCTAATTCACTGATCCGGTCCTCAGCTTCCTCTACTCTGCTTTTTAAACCTTCCAATGTGTTTTTCATTTCTGATATGTCATTTTTTATCTCTTCTTGTTGGTTTTTAATTTCCAATTGGCTTATTTTCAGTGTGTCTATGTCCTTACTCATGCTGTTCAGCTTCCTGAAGATCATGGCTCTGAATTCTAGCTCTGTTAACATGCCTAATTGCTCCACATTGATCTCATTTTCGGTGGAGGTCTCTTGCTCTTTCATTTGGCTTCTGTTTCTGTGTTTCACCATTTTGGCTATCACTGTGGGCTTTGGAGCCTGTCAAGTTCTCCCTGTGGGTGTTGGTGTTCTGCTGTTTGTGGCTCCCTCTCCTGTGTTTAGATGAGCGAGGGAGGACCCACGTTGAACACCACTGTCAAGTCTTACTTTCCTGGTTAAAGTTGCCAGCCCAGGAAAGGTACTGTTATCCTCTAGCTTTTTGCCTGGAGGCTAGCAGTCCAGGTTACTTGATGAGTTTTGGGTTGTCAGTTGATTGAAAAACTCCCTCTGGTGCTCAGCCAAGGGGCTTTCAGGAGGGTGGGGCAGATGCTGGTTGTTAGTGAGCCTCAATTAGCATTTCAATGGCCCACAGGGTGGGGTTGGATCTCGGAGGGAGGGGCTGCTGCCTCTCCTCAGAGCCCTGGGAAGGAGCAATGTGGCCACAGTCCTGTGTGCCTGCACTCAGCCAAAGCTCTGAGTGCCCTCCAAACCCCGAGCGTCCCGACACAGTTCCAGTCCAGTCCGCCCTCCTCTGCCGGAGCCCAAGGTGAGTGGCTGTGGCTGTTTCAGCCTCTGTCCCGGCTGCGCTGTGGAGCCGCCTGGGAGTATAACCCGAGGGCACTGCTCCCAGCTAAGGCCGCTGCCGAGCTGCCGGCCTTGGGCTCCCAGCCCCCGTCTCGCGCCTTCGCAAGCCTACCTGGATGGAGTCAGTGTCCTTCATTGTATGGTCCTCGCAAGCTGCTTTTCTGTTGGTTTTTTCCGTCGATTGTCTGTGTTATAGTTGTAATTCCAGTTTGGTTCTGGGAGCTGGTCTGTGTAGCTCCGTTCACTCCGCCGCCATTTTTTGGTTCCTCCCTTATGTGAATCTTATTCACACTCAAGTTTAAGAAACACTGTTCAGATCTCTCTTTTCCCCAAGGCAATGCACATAGTATGTCTATGATAAAATAACTGTGTTACTTTTTTTATAACCTAGAAATATACTATCTTAAAATAGAATTAAGCAGCCTTTGGTATTTGAAGGATTCAGAGGCATTATGCAATTCTGATGAGCTGACCCTTTTCACCATTTCTGTGTTTTCAGAAATCAACAAGACAGAATCAGACAACTTTCTGAACAATTGTAAGTTTAATATATTTATAAAAACTGCATGACTTCAGTGTAAAATGTTAACACTAGCTTACTTAGGCTTACTTTATGGAGTGTTAAGGGTCAGAATAATTTGAATGTTCTGTGCACAGCTCATGATGTTTTATCTTATCCCTTAAGCACATTTTATTACCAAAGAATAACAAAATTGGGAGAATTTTGGAGTAAATGTATGGGCATATGTATAGTGGAAGTGAGTTGTGCAGTTGTTAAAGAAGAGACAAAAAATACTCACTTCTTAATGTCTGACTGAAGTTAGCAATAATATACGCTCACAAATGTTTTCTAAAGATTATAGAAAAGTAATCTGCATGTTGGTATTTTTCAGCTAGAGGAAGAAACTTGTTACTCTACACTAAATAAAATCTTCTTGATGTTACTATCTCATATTGTGGAAATTTTAGGCTATTATGGGGTAGAGCATATATTGATGAAATTACTGAAGGCCCAGATACCATCTTTACTTGTATTTTAAAAATACTGGCCCTAGACCTATTATTTCCCTTCCTCTATAGTAGAGTATTCCACCAAGATTTAGAGGGTACATTTGATAGTTAGAGAATTAGTATAGAATATATTTGTCTTAAAAGATGGGAGGAAAGCCGTGGCTGGTTTGGCTTAGCGGCTAGAGCATCGGCCTGTGGACCAGAGAGTCCAGGGTTCGTTTCCTGCCAAGGGCACGTACCTTGTTTGCAGTTTGTCCCTGGTCCCAGTTGGGGTCGTGTGGGTGACAACTAGTCAATGTGTCTCTCTCACGTGGATGTTTCTTTCTCTCTTCCCCCATCTCTCCCTCCCACTCTATCTGAATATAAATGCAAAAATGTCCTCGGGTGAGGATGAAAAAAAAAAAAAAAAGAATAGAAAGATGCTATTCACCAGTTCAGAATGTTGGTTGATTCATAAATTTAACTAGGCATGAGACCAAAGGATAACCCCATCACCCAAATGAAATGTATTCTTTTCACCAATATTTATTGGGAACCTATTCTGTGCTAGTGCTGAGTTAGGCGATAGGGATATAAAAGATGAAATATTATCCCTGTCTAAAAGAAACTCATGCCCTGGCCAGTTTGGCTCAACAGTTAGAGCATCGGTCTGTGGTCCAGAGAGACCTGGGTTCGGTTCCCGCTAAGGGCACATACTTCGGTTGCAGTTTGTTCCTGGCCCTGGTTGGGTCGTGTGGGTGGTGACCGCTCGATGTGTCCCTTTTACGTCATGGTTTCTCTCTCTCTTTCTCTCTCTCTCTCTGCCCCCCTCCCTCTCACTCTATCTGAACAAAGAATGGAAAAGAATGTCTTCCAGTGAGGATAAAATAAATAAATAAAAGAAGCTCATACTCTAACAGGACTATATGTACAGGGACTAGTGCATGAACACATCATTCCAAAATAATAGTTCTCACACATGAACAATTTTGACCCCCTAAGAATTACGACCCATGGTGGCATTTTTAGTTATCACGATTGTGTGTGGGGCAGGTGCTACTAGTATCCAGTATGTATAGGTCAGGGATTCTTCTAAACATCCTATGATACATAGGACAGCCCCTCACAACTAAGAACTATTCATCCCAAATGTTAATACTTCCAAAGTTGAGAAACCCTGTAATAAACCCTGTTATACATATATTATACAGAGAGAGAGAGGGGAAGAGAAGTAAATACTCACACTATATAAGAGAGTATTATTATTTTTTTAATGGAGACATTAAAGAAAATCATAACTAATCTAGTTTGAGTGTGGGGAACTGTTAGTGATGACATCTTAGAGGAAGCAATGACTGACTTAAATCTCATAACATGAATAAGAGTTAAGTAATGAAACACAATAGTTTAAGGGAAGGTAAAAACAAGAAAAATGTTTGCTACTACTGGAGCACAAAGTATGAAAAATTTGGAACATAGTAACATAATTTTTAAAAATTAATTAATTTGCCCTGGCCAGTTTGGCTCAGCGGTTAGAGCATTGGCCTGCGGTCCGGAGACACCCGGGTTCAGTTACCGCTAAGGGCATGTACCTCGGTTGCAGTTTGTCCCCGGCCCTGGTTGGTCGTGCGGGTGGCAGGCACTCGATGTGTCCCTTTCACATTAATGTTTCTCTCTCTCTCTCTCTTCCTCTCTCTCCCTCCCACTCTATCTGTACAAAAAATGGAAAAATGTCCTCGAGTGAGGATAAAAATAAATAAATAAATAAAATAAATAAAAATTAATTAATTTATTTTTGTTACAGATGCATAGTAATATAATTTAAAACTTAAAAACAACTGCTAACTAATGCATCATCTCTCTTTGGTAGGTTGTGGGACTCGAAGGAATAAAAATTCAAAATCAAGTGTCAGGATTGTTGGTGGGACACAGGTAGAAGAAGGTGAATGGCCATGGCAAGCTAGCCTGCAATGGGACGGGATCCATCGCTGCGGAGCAACTTTAATTAATGGCACATGGCTTGTGAGTGCTGCTCACTGCTTTATAATGTAAGTTCTGAACCTCGCGAGGGAGTAAGCAGAGTGCATTGGGGCTTGGCAGGAAGAAAATACCTTATGAAATTTAAGAGAGATGAGTTTAGTATATATTAAAGGATATATACATCACAAAGAGAGTGGGAAACACAGAAACCTTAGTAAGAGCTTTTATAGTCTGGAAATGGAAATGGCATCGAAGTCCATGTAAGATAATTTTTCAATTATCCTTTGAAAAAAATACACAATAATTGTCAGAGGAAGCAGGAATTTTAAGTCATCTTTGGACTTTGAGCTTGATATCAAAGAGAAGAGTCATATCTCTCTGCTGCGTATCTATGAGAGATGGAGGCTAAGTGGATTGTAGGTTTGACCCAAAGGGGAAATTTCCCATGATAAGAATTAAATATGAAGAAATCTGATAGTAACAAATTATATAACTGAGTAGGTTGGCTAGTTATATTCCCAGAAATAAAAACTATTTTACCCAGTGTAAAATACCTACAGTATGCAGGATAGTAATGCTTGGTTAAATTATTGTGCAGCCGTTTTAGATTTCAGAGAAATGTGTATGTTTGTGGGGTAGGTGACCTGGTGCAGAAAGAATCCATTTACTTCTCTCATTCTGTACATGATATGTTTTTCATATGTCCCTTGGAGTCACTGTTGCCCAGAAGTGTCAAAAGGCCTTAAGATCTGGAGTGGTGACTCAGCATGTAAAGTAGCTTGTATGTCTCTAGAAACATGCCATTGTGGCATTTCTATCTGATCTGACCCATGAGCCAGAGTCTCAGATTGCAAAGAGTTTGTTTCTATGCATAGAAACTATAATAAAAAAAAAATAAAAAAAAACAACCCTCATATTGACAGATTACATTGTTTCATGGAAATCATTGTATTGGTAGCATGGTGAAGTACAATTTATTCTTTGTATCTTCCTCCCTAGGTATAAGGACCCAACCAGATGGACCGCCTCCTTTGGAGTAACAGTATATCCTCCTAAAATGAAACATGGCATCCGGAGGATAATTGTCCATGAAAAATTTGAACATTTATCACATGACTATGATATTTCAGTTGTAGAGCTTTCTAGTCCTGTTCCCTACACAAATGCGGTACATCGAGTTTGTCTCCCTGATGCATCCCATGAGTTCAGCCAAGGCGATGAGATGTTTGTGACCGGATTTGGAGCACTACATAATGATGGTGAGAATCTGAAGAGAAACTGAAATCATTGTAATCTAATATGTATTCTAAGGAATTTAAAGAATGGAATGTCATTATGTCGAAATATGTTAGTGCGTTGGATGGACCTGAGCCAGATCAGGCTCTGCTTGTGAACTGAGTCATTTAGAAGATATGTAAATCCCTTCAAGCCTTAGGTTACTATCAAGTGCATCACTACAGTGATGGTGCTTGGTAAGGTATCTGAAAGAGTTAACATGTCTGAAATTTTTACTAGGGGATTAATGACATAAAAGATGATGATCATTAATATGTTCAATTGTGAAGATCAGAGAATCTTAAAACCATCATGCCCTCCTACTGAAATTACCTTCTAAGCTTAACAATGGAAAAGAAATTACTTACACAACTTGAGGTTCTTTTCTAAGTACCTAACATTTTATTTAAAATAAAATAGCATTCTCTCCCCAAATAATTACTGTATCTGAAAAAAAACAAACCAAAACCTATATATTCTAAGAGTCTATATCAGCATCCTGTCCAATAATTATAAAAGATTTTCTTCAAGTCTATAAAATATATGTATGTCAACAAATATAAAGACTATTACTTTTCCTTTAGGTATCAGTCAAAACCATCTTTGGCAAGTGCAGGTGAATCTCATAGACACTCAAACCTGTAATGAACCTGAAGTTTACAATAACACTATAACTCCTAGAATGCTATGCGCTGGCTCCTTGTCAGGAAAAAGAGATGCATGCCAGGTAAGTGGGCTGGCCTATTAATATGCCGCATAGCTTTTTGTTCACCTTATATTTTGAAAAAAAATTATAGATTTATGGAAAATTGAAAATACAATACAGAGAGCTCTCATGTACCCTTCACCCAATGTCCTCCAATAGTTACATCTCACATATCTATAGTATAATACAAAAGCTAGGAAATTGACATTGGTACAGTGTGTACTTCTGGTTCCATGGCATTTCATCACATGTGTAGATTTGTGTAACTACTACTGCAGGTGAGAATTATTTCAACACTACCAAGATCTTTCTTTATAGTGACACCCACTTTCCTACCCCATCACGCTTTTATCACTAACACGTGGCAATTACTAATCTGTTCTCCATCTCTATAATTTTGTAATTTTGAGTGTTATATAAACAGAATTATACAGTAACTTTTTAAAAGAATTCCATTTTGATTTATCTATTAGTGTGTTGACTAGACTCTCTCTTTGTAAAGAAAACACTTTGTGGTTTCTCTAAGTTATACACACATAATTTATCACAGTCTACCAGTGTGCAGATTTTACTAGTTTGAGTGGAGTGAACAACAGAAAACTTACCTCCCCTCAAACCTATTTATCCTTTCTTATTTAAAATATTAAATATTAATAAACATAAATATTAAATATATCCTCTACATATATTGAGAACCACATCAGACAATATTTTTGCTTCAAGTGCCAAATATAACTTAGAAAACTCAAGAGAAGGAAAATCTATCTAGCCATAGTTTTGTTCTTTCTTTCTGGTTTTCCACGATTCTTTTTTATCATTTCTGTTTCAGAAACTTTCTTTAGCCATTCTTTTAGTGTGGACAGGCTGGTGACAGATTCCCTTAGATTTTATTTATCTGGCAAAATACTTTATTTACTATTCATTTCTGAAGCATAATTTTGCCAGGTATAGAATTTGGGATTGACAGTTCTTTTCTTTCAGCACTTAAATCATGGCCTCCTTTGATTTCTAATCATGAATCTGCTGTTATTCATTGTTTTCCACTTATAGATGAAGTGTCATTTCTTTTTTGCTGTGTCCAGGATTTTTTTTTTGTCTTTGATTTTCAGAAATTTGATTATGTGCCTTGGCATGGGTTTCTCTGGGTTAGCCTGTTTGGAGTTTGCTCAGCTTATTTATTTATTTATTTATTTATTTATTTATTTATGTTACAGATATTTCTCCTTTTGCCCCATTGGCACCCTCCTCCCAATCCTGCTTCCTCCCCAACGTTATTGTCTATGTCCATGTTTATGCATACATGCATATAAGTTCTTTTGTTTATCTCTTTCCTTCCCCCACTCCCTTCTTCGGAGGTTTCTCAGTCTGTATCCTACTTCTATGTCGCTGGGTCTATTTTGTTCAATATATTCCACAAGTAAGGGAGATCATGTGATATTTTTCTTTCTCTGATTGGCTTGTTTTGCTTAGGATAATACTCTCCAGGTCACACCCTGTCGTCTCAAAGATAAGAGATCTTTCTTTCTTATAGCTGCATAGTATTCCATTTTGTATATGTACCACAGCTTCTTTATCCACTCATCTATTGATGACTATTTGGGCTGTTTCCAGATCTTAGCAATTGTAAATGAAGACAGGAGTACATATATTTTTTCTGGTTGGTGTTCCAGGCTTCTTAGGATATATTACTAGGAGTGGGATCACTGGGTCAAATGGCAGTTCACTTCTTTGAGGAAACACTATATTGTTTTCCATAGTGGCTGCACCAGTCTGCATGACCACCAGCAGTGCACTGGAGTCCCCTTTTCTCCACACCCTCACCAGTACTTGTTTTTGACGATTTGTTGATGGTGACCATTCTGACAAGTGTGAAGTGATACCTCATATTTGTTTTAATTTGTATCTTTCTGATGATTAGTGACACTGAGCATTTTTTCATATGTTTCTTGGCCATTTATTAGTATGTGCTGTTTGGAGAGGTGTCTCTTTAGGTCCTCTGCCCATTTTTTAATTGGGTTCTTTGTCTTCCTTTTGTTGAGTTGTGTGAGTACTGTATATATTTTGGAAATTAACCCCTTATCTGATGTATCATTGGCAATTATGCTCTCCCATATAGTGGGTTCCCTTTCCCTTTTGATGGTTGTTTCTTTTGCTGTGCAGAAGCTTTTTAGCCTGATGTAGTTCCATGTGTTCATTTTCTCCTTTGTTTCTCTTGCCTTAGGTTGTTGTATCAGTGAAAATTCTGCTGCGTATGATGTCTGAAATTTTGTTGCCTACATTTTCTTCTAGGATTTTTATGTATTCATGAGTCACATTTAAGTCTTTTATCTATTTTGAGTTTATTCTTATGTATGGTGTAAGTTGGTGGTCTAGCTTCATTTTTTTGCATGTAGCTGTCCAATTTTCCCAACACCGTTTATTGAAGAGGCTGTCTTGACTCCACTGTATGCTCTTGCCACCATTGTCAAATATTAATTGTCCATAATGACTTGGGTCAATTTCTGGGTTCTCTGTTTTCTTCCATTGATCTATACGCCTGTTCTTGTGCCAGTACCAGGCTGTTTTGATTACTATGGCTTTGTAGTATAACCTGATATCTGGTATTGTGATCCTTCCTCCTTTGTTCTTTTTCAAGATTGCTGTAGGTATTCAGAGTCTTTTTTGATTCCACATAAACTTTTGAGTATTTGTTCTAGTCTGTGAAGTATGGCATTGGTATTTTGATGGGGATTGCATTGAATCTATAGATTGCTTTGGGTAGTATGGGCATATCAATGATGTTAATTCTTCCAATCCATGAACAAGGTATATGCTTCCACTTTTTTCTCTCTTTCTCTCTTTTTTCAGTGTCCTGTTGTTTTCTGTGAATAGGTCTTTTACTCCTTTGGTTAAGTTTATTCCTAGGTATCTTAATTTTTTTGCTGCAATGGTAAATGGGATTGCTTTTATGTTTCTCTTTCTGTGAGTTCATTGTTGGTGTATAAGAATGCTGTTGATATCTTCATGTTAATTTTGTATCCTGCTACTTTGCCAAATTCATTTATTAAACCGAGTAAATTTTTGATGGAGTCTTCCGGGTTTTTTATGTACAGTATTATGTCATCTGCAAATAATGACAGTTTCACTTCCTCCTTTCCAATTTGGATCCCTTTTATGTTTTTTTGTTTTTTTTTTTTCCATGTCTAGTTGCTGTGGCTAAGACTTCCTGTACTATGTTAAATAAGAATGATGAAAGTGGGCATCCCTGTCTCTTCCCTGTTCTTAAGGGTTGTGTTTGTAGTTTTTGCTCATTGAGTATGATGTTGGCTGTAGGTTTTTCATATATGGCCTTTATTATGTCAAGATATGATCCCTCTATTCCCACATTGCTGAGCGTTTTTATCAGAAATGGGTGCTGGATTTTGTCAAATGCTTTTCAGCATCTATTGATATGATCTTATGGTTTTTATCTTTCATTTTGTTTATGTGGTGTATCACATTTATTGATTTGTGAATATTGTACTATCCTTGCCTCCCTGGGATGAATTCCACTTGGTAATGATACATAATTTTTTTGATGTATTGCTGGATCTGATTTGCTAATATTTTGTTAAGGATTTTGGCGTCTGTGTTCATCAGGGATATTGGTCTGTAGTTTTCTTTCTTTATAGTGTCTTTTTCTGGTTTTGGAATTAGAATTATGCTGGCCTCAAAAAATGAGTTTGGAAGTGTTCCATCTTCTTGGATTTTTTGGAATAGTTTGAGTAGAATGGGTGTTAGATCTTTGAATGTTCATTAAAACTCTCCTGTGAAGCCGTCTGGGCCTGGGCTTTTGTTTGCTGGGAGATTCTTGATTACAGCTTCAATTTCCTTAGCTGTTATTTGTCTGTTCAAGTTTTCTATCTCTTCCAGGCACAGTTTTTGTGTGTTTCTAGAAATTTGTCCATTTCTCCTAGATTGTCCAATTTGTTGGCGTATAATTGTTCATAGTATGTTTTGATGATCCTTTGTATTTCTGTGGTGTCAAATGTTATTCTCTTTCATTTCTGATTTTGTTCATTTGGGTCCTCTCTCTTTGTTCCTTGGTGAGTCTGGCAAAGGGTCCATCAATCTTGTTTATCTTTTCAAAGAACCAGATCTTTGTTTCATTGATCTTTTGAACTGTTGTTTTAGTGTTTATGTCGTTTATTTCTGCTCTGACCTTTACTATTTTTTCCCTTATACTTGCTTTGGGTATTTTTGTTGTTTGTTTGTTTACTTTGTAATTCTTTAAGTTGTAGAAAGTCAATTAGGAATTTTTCTTGTTTCTTGAGGTAGGCCTGTAGTGCTCTGAACTTCCCTCTCGGGACTGCTTTTGCTGTGTCCCTTAGATTTTGTGTTGCTATGTGTTCGTTTTCATTGGTTTCCAGGAAGTTTTTAATTTCTTCCTTGATCTCCTTGGTAACCCATTCATTGTTTAACAACATGCTATTTAGCCTACATGTGTTTGAATGTTTTTGTGTGTTTTGTTATAATTGATTTCTAGTTTCATGCCATTGTGATTTGAGAAGATGCTTGATATCACTTCAATTTTATTGAATTTGTAGAGACTTACTTTGTGTCCTGACACATGGTCTGTCTTGGAGAATGTCCCATGTGCACTTGAGAAGAATGTATATTCTGCAGCTTTGGGGTGAAATGTTCTGTAAATATCAATTAGGTCCAACTGATCTGGTTTGTCATTTAAGAACTCTGTGTCCTTGTTAAATTTTTGTCTAGAAGATCTATCCTGTGGTGTCAATAGGGTGTTAAAGTCACCCACTATGATTGTATTGTTATTGATCCATCTCTTGAAGTCCTCCAGAAGTCTTTAAATATATTTTGGTGCCCCTGTATTTGGTGCATATATGTTTACCGGGGTTGTATCCTCTTTTGGATTAATCCTTTTAATATTATGTAGCGACCTTCTTTGTTTCTTATTATGGGCCTCACGTTGAAGTCTATCTTATCAGATATAAGTATTGCTAAACCAACTTTCTTTTCATTTCCATTTGCTTAGAAAT